ACAACGGCGCCAGAAACTTGTTATCTCTCTTGGCAAGTGTACCAAATCGTATAAGTAGTTCAATGAAAGTATGAGTATCGTCTCCCAAGGGACTTGCGCAACACTTTGCAATTTCACTTGTTATACTAACTAAGCTACCAAAAAGCAACAAGAGTTTGATTTGCTACAGTAAATAATGTAAACAAGCAATAACAATTCTTTTTGGTATTTTGGTAAACACTTAGAGTGCAAAACTTGATTCTAATGCAATATTAATAAATTATTGGGGTTTGACTTCACTAAACCTTCCTCTCATGCTTATCACTAAGTTCACAATAGTTATTATTCAGAATTTATCAATCACTCTCAAAAGTAACCAACCCTAATCTCTTACAAGTTGGCATCTAAGTTGCTAACTTAAACTATCAATCTCTTGCATAGTTTAACCAAGAAACCAGCTTTAAAAACAAGAGCTTAAGAAAGACCAATGGCATTTACTCTATCTCTAGCAATAAGCACCATTAGCTGCTCTATTTCAAGTCAAAGGTTTAAAATCATTTCTCAATCTCTTAAAAACCTTAAGTTCAAGTTAAGGGTGATCAAGCCATAACAAGCATTATGCACAGAAAAAGAGCAATAAAACTGAATAACAACTTAGATTGATAGCTTAGAGTTTACACATGAGAATGAGTTTAGTTACATCAAACCCCAACAAGGGTGAGTTTAGCTACACATAGACATGTAGAACTCTACAAATGATGAAGAAAGGAAGAAGCTTGATCTTGAAGGTTCCAGAGCTCTCCAGCCGCCACACAAACTCCAAGAATGATCCTCCTTGCTTCTCTCCTCAAAAATCTCACTTTTAGGTCATAAAAGCTTTTGTCTTATGTGAATAATGACATGTCAGTACAATCCACGCTAAGCGTGAGAAGCCACGCTAAGCTTGAGGATAGGTCTGGAGTGAAATGAGGTTTTGGGACTCCCACGCTCAGCGTGAGGATTGAATTTTTGTTCCAGGGACTCTCTGCCAAGCTAAGGCTAAGCCTGGATCTGAGGCTTAGCCTGGGAACTTAACCAAAAATTCCTTCAACTTCAAATTCACCACTTTGTGCTTGACTTCCTTCCTTCTTTCCTAGCTTTCTCCTAAACTACAAAATAACAACCAAATACTTGTAAGTTACCTAAAAACATGATTCAAAAACAAAATGTGATCAACTAACAATTTAGATATGTTTTGAGTTAAAAACAAATTCTAAAGCAAGGAAAATTGATATAAGTGCTTCAAACTAGGCTATAAACTTAATGAAAACATAGCACTTATCAAATAGTGTCTATCAAAAACTCACGTTTTTCAGTAAGTGAAATAGTAATGCTAATAGTAAAAAGTGTTGGAAAAAAGGAAAACAAAACATAGTATGTTTATATGGGTTCATCTCAACCACTGAGACTATGTTCATCTACTATCTTAAACAAAATATAATTATTCCTTCAATAAGTCACTTCCGACTCAAACCTAAATGTTCTTTGAATTGGCTCTTCAATCAATCTACACAAATATTCTTTTCACATAAAGCCTCTCCAGGCTTTAACACCAATTAATCTTTTATAGTCAAACCTCTTTAGGCTTAAAATAAGTATTTTTTTTATAGATAAGCTTCTCCAGGCTCAAATAATTATTCTTTTATAGATAAGTCTGTCCAGACTCAACCAAATATTATTTTACAAACAAATCTCTCTAGGTTCAACCCTATATAACAATTATATATGGGTAAAGTTTTATAGATGTTGTTTCATCTTACAGACAAGACGATATAACTAGTTAAGAACAAAATTCTTTTACAAAATGAATGAATTAATAATAATTTGTAGAAAAGTTCTTTTTCTTTTTGATCGTGAAACTTCTTATATAGTAGCTTGAATGAAGTTGACCGTTGTAAAATCTTAAGAGTTCCTTACATGCTTCCTTCGTGTATCTTCATTACAAGTTCTTTGAGGCGAGAAGTATTTGTTGATGCATTAAATGCTTGCATTAATTGCACTTCACCAAATTGTCTCTTCTTAAATGATTAAGGAGGTTACTTATCAACTTCAAGATACCAAATGAACTATTTGTGGCATGTGTCAATGAGGAGCAAGTTCTACATCAATTTTTGCTAACTTTTTCATGATTTAAAAGATTCGTTTGTCATTATTTCTTGTGCAAACATGACTTCATTCACTTTAACAAATTTGTGAGTTCCAACGAGCTTTCTTAGTTCAATCTATTAAAGAATCAGGTAGTCATGCAACAAGTAGTCATTATTCATTATAAATGATACATATTTAAGACTTTATGAAATAAAATTGTATGCTTCATTTGATGACATATTGTGTGTCTAACATTTTTCGTCTTATACTTCATCTAATGTGTATTTTGCACAAAATATTTTTTTTCTTATAAAAATGTTTTGTTTGTTATCTCATTAAAGTTTTTAAGTTTAAGGGATCCAAGATCATCTTTTAACTTAACATCATTTTTCTTAGACATTGTGGTTATGGTAACCTTGGCAAAGCGCCTTGCACCCGTCTTCGTTGTTCCCTTGGAAATGCTCTTAGAGAAGGAGCTTATCTACATTACTTTAACTAGTTAATTTCTAGGATTTAACTAGTTAATTTCTAGGATTGGAAAATTCTTTCTTCAAAGTTTTTTAGGATTGCAAAAAAATAATAAAATATATATGGTTACCATAACTTGTTAGTGTATATTTTGTCATATTTTAAAAGGTAAATTTAATTATGAGATTATTTTGTTTTTAAATTTGATTTTAAAATATATCTACATAAATGTTATTTTATTAATTATTGATTTAAAAATTTAATTAATAGTTGGTGTTAAAAAATCTAATTAATAACTTTAATAAGAAATAATAATTTGACTATTATAATTTTAATTATTGTAAATTGTTAGTGTTTTAAAATTAATTAATTTTTAATTTATTGATTAATTACTTATAAGTTGAACTAATAAGTCATTAGTTAAATAGGTTGAACCTAGGGGTGTAAGCGAATACAGATAATCCATAATCTTGAACTAATCCAATGATTCAAATAAGATTTTTTTTTATTGTTCAAATTGAACTTGACACAACCCAATCAAAACTCAACAGTGTATGGGTCAAGTAATAGGTTTTATGTTTTTTACTCGTGATCCAACTCGACCCATTCATTTATGCGTTAATCACCTATACACTACCAGTGTAAAAAAAATTTACACTGGCAACCAATCAGATCTTTTAATAGTGTCATGTCAGTTGCTTATTTAATGAAATAAAAATAAAATAAACTCATTTAAAAGATCTGATTGGTTGTCAGTGTAAAATACCTTTACACTAGCAGTGTATAGATGATTAACTCTTCATTTATTATTATTATTATTGTTGTTGTTGTTGTTATAACAACAACAACAATAACAATAATGTTTGGATGATGATTTGCTTAAAACAATACTCTCTATTGTGATTGCTTAGTAATGATTTTTATATTTTTTAGTTGATAGAATTGTAACAATGGAACATAATTATTTTAAAATTTATTTTTGTATTAATGTTAGTTGTTTGAGTTAATAACAATGTAGTAAATTAACAAATTTATTTTATAATTTAACTTATATCATTATTTGCTTTATGAATAACGTTATATTTACACCAAAATATCAAATATTTTATTTATATTATGAAATATTTAATTTTTATAAAAAAATAAATATATTTAATTATTATTGACCTAATTAACTCAACTCATTTCAATTCATTTGTAATTGAATTGAATTAAGTTAAATTTAAAAGAAAAACACGAGCCTTACTTGTTGAACTTTGGATGGATTTGATAATGCATGCAAATCTAGTGCATCCTGATCAATTGACACCCCTGTTTAAACCAACATATTATTAATTATATTATATAATTATAATTTTATATAAATTATCTGTATCCTATTTTAGTGTTTTAAAAACAATTATATATAAATATTACATTCTAACTTAAAAAACAGTAAAAATTATATATACAAATAAATAACTATCATGTTTAAAAATAATACCTATCTAGTTTTCTTTTTACATAAATACCTGTTTATTTTTTCACGGAGACGTGAGGCGCTTTTTTTTTTTTTTTTCTTCAATAGTATAGTATAAAAATCATTTTTTATAAACAAATATCAAAGTTAAATATTGGTGCAGTAGTTTATTGTATTTCAAAATTCAAATACTGAAGTGACCTGAGTTGTACTATTGTTAAGAACAAAATTTTCTTAATATTTTTTTACTGAATTTCTAGCCAAAGCCAGGTCAAGTGAACATGCATTGGTGAGCCAATGAATATGAATACGAGCCAGCATGTAACAGAGTGCTACAGGAACATAAGTACAGAGTTGCATCGGGGACTGCACAGAGACGATGAAGAAAAAAATTAAAATGTGTGACCAGTGAGCCATGGGTCACCGATTATCGAACCACTCGAGTTGAATCCGTTTTTACTGATTTTGAGACATTTGGTAATTTAGGTAGAAATAGATTTCAGTTTTCAATTTTAGTTTCTCTTCTTCTATTTTTTGTTAAAATAAACATACCTTGAAACTTTTCTATTTTATTATTAAAACTTAGTTTAAGAATTTTTATTATATTTTGAGTTATTTTAACTCTATTTAATATTTACATTCTCTCAAAATAATTTAATTATTTATTTATTAATAATATAACTCTAGCTTCAAAAATATATTTTGATTAACATAATATAATATTAAAAGAGACCATGTCAAAATTTCAGAGCAAGTAGATACATCACAAACACACTTACGTGCAATACTTAACGATATTAAAAAAAAAAAAAAAAAAAAAAAAAAAACACAAATTAGACGGG